TTACATATATATTTTTTTCAGAGTTTGATGCTGAGCTATAGGGTATTGTGCTATAAATAATGGCCTTGGAATCCAAGGCTGAGCATTTAAAAATTATTTGTTATAACAAAAAAAAACCAGAAAGACTGGTGGATATCACATAATGTAGTGTGATACCCTTTGTCTTGCCTAACTCTCAAGATTTGTCAACCTTTATAAGGCCAGCATTTTTCATGACTTGAAGAACAAAAACCAAATGATCTTTTTGTCAAGATCAACAGCTAAGCAGAGAGGTTCCACGTGATTATGCACTACGCCTGCAGTATGGGCAACAACACATGGGGCACAGAAAGAATTGCCAAAACTCAGCATGTTGCCAAAACTACCAGAGAAAGAAAGGATTTGGCATGGTTGGGAATGTGTCCTCAAAGGAAAAAAAAAAAAAGTCACTTTTTTAAGCTGCAGAAAGTGTACTGAAGGTGAGTTATATTTTATTTCCTTAAAATACATTTTAAAAACATACTGTGTAAAAGAATTAGGATTCTCAATAATTTATTATTTACATTAGCAAATTCTGTTTGACTGTTATTCTATAGATAGAAATGAAAAGTCTGCAGAAGGGAGTTGTATTCACTTCTTCAGGACCCAGCACACCCCTTTACCAAGACACAGGTCCAAAGTGCATTCCTTTCCATTCCGATCCCTTCAAATTCATGTTTGCAAACAGACTGCAAAAAGCTCAATGAGCGGTCATGCTGGCGAGTGGTGAGCACTGCTAGGGAGAGCCGGGATTTCGGAGTGCTCCGCAAGAGAGACCCCGAGGAGATCTGAACACTGCACTACTCATTAGTTGAGAGGCTGCAGGGTCCAGTCCCACTCGTGCTCCCGCTGTCCCACCTCCACTAAAATCCGTGGCATTACGTGACAACAAGGCCTGCACCCAGCCCTGCAGGCAGGTCTTGGAAACCCAGACAGACTCCTTGCGCCAGGCTGGCGCAGGAGAGGGTGGTCTTCCTACCGCTGCAGACACACTGTAGCTTATAATCCTTTTTGAGTCCAAACACAACGTAAATCTCACTGTCTTCCTCTCCATCCTCTGGAGAGAAATATGCATAGGGAATTATCTCTCTGATGTAAACAACTGTAAGCACCATTCACATTTGCTGGTCCACATGAAAAAAAATCCTATCCAAGGGCCCGTCATAGCCTTGACCGTTCTGAGCAGGAGGCAGCTCAGCTTCCCGATCTCCGAAATCACACGGGCCCCCAGGCATCATGCACAGTCCACTGCAAGGCCAGCTGCTGTTGGCTGTACTGTTCCAGGAAAGAGTAGTCGCCTCTTCAGTGATTATATAAAAAACCATGATTAAAAGAAGTTAGAGCGGTCAGCTCGTGTGATCTGGTTCCTGGAGGCACTCAATGGTATTTCTGAGATCTCCTATAAGGCACCAGTCATCCGGTAGCCAAGCAAAAACTGACCCACAAGACCTCCATTAAGCAACCACAGAGGGAACTGACAAAATTCAGCTGGTTTGCTCGCCGTCTCGCTTGCACAGCATAAAAAGCGTGGTCATGTCACCTGGGGAAGTTTCTGATGGTATCCTGAAAGAGGAAGCCTCAACTTGCACTGCAAGCCAAGGAGCATGGGTGACAGCATGCTACAGCAGAAGTTTCTGATGGCTGCATCAGAGTGGCAGTTCCCACAGACACAGCAGAGATTTCCTCCAGCCCCAAGTGGCCTCTACTGCCTTCCTTTCAGGGAAAACGAGTTTGTTGTCAACAGCGAAGCAGTCACCTCCTTACAAGATGTCTCCACAACACACAACGGATGGCCAGACTACAAAACCAGCTTTGTGGCGTACTTGCTGCAACTTCTCTGCTGCTGGTCTTGCCCGCACAGCCTTCTTCACAGAGATGCAAGGCCGGAGACAGCAGAGCCTGTGGACAAAGCGGTCAGCTGGGTGCTGGCTGACTGCGTCCCCGAGCAGCCTCAGTCCAGAATATCAGTCTCAAAGGGGACCAGGTGGTAGTATGTCAAATTGGTGACATAAGCTGTTGGATCATCGCTGTCTTCTAGCTCCGAGGTAAAGTCACTAACACTTTCAAACCTAAGGAGAAATAAATAAAAAAACCCACCACCAAAAAGCATAAAGTCAGTAATGTTCATTTAGAAAATCCAAGGAATTGGAAGAAAAGTACTGAGGGAGAGGGAGAAGGCTAGCATATCTGAAGACTGACCCCCGGAAATTTTGAGAAGAGACATTTGTGAGGGGACCACTTGGAAAAGGGGCTGTGGGCAAGAATACTTCTGCTGGTACCGCAAGTTAAATTTTTGAGTAAATGTAACATATTTACTTGCTTCACACCAGAGCAGTGTTGCAATAGAAGTATTTCTAATGCTGGTTTGCAGCTTCAGCTTTGTGAAGCTCAATTTGCAAGACAAAGATCTGAAGTCCCAACTCTTTTTCCAAAGCTCCAGTATCTCACTGCCCATCTTGGCAGCCTGAAATTCCAATTCATACCAGAAGCTGTCAGAGAAGGTCCATGCAGATGAAGTATGGACCACAAGGCTATAGTTTCTCTGATATCAGCTTAGGTATCACGATGCTAGCGTAACCTACTGGAGACACCAGCCACGGCATCTACTGTCACTTTCATAAACCAGGAGTCAACACTTCCTAGAGAGAGTTGAGAAGCAAATGGAAATCATTGCTCTCCATGTCCTTAAATAAACAGAAAGCCTGTTTCTTTCTAACCTGTAGAAGTGAATGGGCTGAAGAATTTGCTTTCAGTAAAACAGGATGGCTATTCCCTTTTAAAACTGTGCTGAGACACAGCTGCGCAGCACACTAGGATGCCAAGTTCTCATCTCTTTAGACAGCAGTCTTCAGTAAAAGGGACTTCTATGACTCTACTCTAGCATGACACTGACTCTCCACAGCACTTGTCATCATAACACCCGAACTTCATGCCTCCTGACACCTAGTCACCACACTGCACTTAACATGAGCCGGATCAAAAACATGACTAATCTGTTCTCAGGCCCTCGGGCTCCCCTCCTACTAACGAATGAATGATTTCCTGGGACGTGGCCTTTCTGGTCAGGCAGTTCTGGACACCTCTGCTGCTGGCCTAAAAGACAGAAGTGCAAACAGTCCTGTAACTGCGACAACTTTAATTTCCAGATGCTGGCCTTGCAGGATTACCTCCATTGTGCCACTTCTGTCTCATTAACACAAGCTTATAAGCTTAAATGCTTAGCAAGGTCAAGGTTCAAAATACTAAGTAATAACTTAGTAGAAAGACTTCAAGAAGTTACACTGGAGCCAGAGATATGCTCCAGTCCCTGACAAAATCTTGTCAGGCTCTAAACTTCTCCCCAGACTGGTGACGACCACATTTCCAGTGTGGCAAGACAGAACGTTGCATTCAAAGGGAATGTCTCCATAACATTTTTAGTGCTCCGTTTCCATAATTTTGGATGCTGTAATGAAAAAGTAGGTCAATGTCTCCCTTTAAAAATATTTAAATGCTTCACTACCTGAAGCTCACTGAAATATCAGTCACCTGTCATGACAGAAATCTGTAGCAGCGAATTTCCATCAACACCCATCCGTCAACACAGTCAGTGACTTCAGACCTACCTGAAAGCCCTCCTGGTTACAGGTCTCTGCCCCCCCCACATGCATCAGGAGGCAGAATTTACAAATACGACCCTCCTCCTTAATGAAATACACACGCTTCACCAGGGCCCAGAATGCCACAGCACCCCAGCAGCTGCTCAGCTTCCTTTCGTTACTCTCAGGAGTGGGTTCCCCTACTCCAGGGATGGTGTTTTACTTTCCAAATAAAGCATACCCTTCGTAGGAGGATATTCCATTTGTAAGGATACTTGAGTTTTCAAATTTGGGCTCAGAACAGCTCTCATCACAGTCATGAGAGAAAGAAAAGACTCCTCTGTTCTCACCCGGCAGGACCCCTAAGACAACCACAGCTTTTTCCACGCACAGAGAACTGAGCTCCTGGGGTCAATCATTCTCACCGACAGCCATTTTATCCATTTTAATGGAAAGAACCACAAAACGTTAGCAATCAGGCCCAGTAACCTTCAACCCGTCAGAATGACGGCTGTACCAGTCTGGCTTCTAGACAGCAGATAACATTTTGCTTGGGGGGGTGGGAAATCTACAGTTAATCCAAAGCTGACAGCACTGCTCCTGCACAAACCCCACTTACAAGTGTTCTGCTGCATCTACGTCCAGGTGCTTCTCTTTGCCGTTGGGTATACTGTGGTCAATGACTATTGTTTCAGTGTTGGCCAAACAAAATCCATTTGAGCGCATGATTTCTGTCGGGAGAAGGAAGAAAACAAGATGAAAATAATAATTAAAAAAAAAAGCTGGAAAACAACCGCATATCATGTGGAATTGACATGGTTAGGAACTGAGATGCGTGCGTGACATTAAAAATCTGCACGTGAAAGCAGGAGTGAGGAGTTGGTTTCATAACTTCTTACATTTGCAAACTGCCAGTGCTTAAGCAATTTCATTCACGTAATCAATTCAGCCCTGTTCTATCAAGTTTCAGCCCTGTTATTGCCAGGGGCAAAATTCCCATCAGAATGGGAATCCCCTGCAGAATGGCAGCCCATCCATCTATTGCAGCCTACCACTACCAAAAAATAATTGCATTTTTCCTAGACAGTCCCAGGCTTAAGCCAATTAAGCAAAAATCAGAAAGACAGGAAAAAGGAAACAAAAAGCGACCTTCCAATTTAATTCAACCACAATCTTTGTCACGTAAAGCAATACCATCTTCTACGCTGCCTTCAACTCTGCTTACTTGTTTCTCGCTGTGTAAGAAGCCCCCAATCCAGAACAGCTAAAATTTACACCTAATTCCACTGACCTATTACCATGGGGAGAGTTTATAATTAAAGAATAGTATTTGCTGTGAATGAGAAGTCAATCCACATCTGTGCTACATGGAAAGGCACACTAGGCAAGTCACAAGGATTTCTTTCAGACACACCATCATAGACGAAGCTAGGGCCACCACAAATGAACATACATCTCTATATAAATCAGCTCTGACTTCAGTGGGAAGACTCATGACCTGCCTTAATGTACAAGGACCATGTGTTACAGCCTTGCATTACCAGCACAAACAAAAGGAAATTAGTCTGTGGCAGAAAATATGGTAGGCACAAAACTTACATACAAGGAACCCTCAAACAAACAAATTTCAGCTCTACGTACAGTTCAAGGAATGAGCAGGAGAGAGAAGGGAGGTAATTTCTGAAAGTGCACATTTACACGTTCCTACATTAAGGTGAAGCCAAAACTCACTCCCATGTTTTTCTTGAGAAAGTCATCTTTGACTTTCAGTCTGTATTTACTGCGACTCACTTTAGCAGAATACATTTGGGGGTGGTAAAAACACTGAATCCCAGAAGAATCACACTTCACTCATGACTCATCCTGAGCCAACATCAGACTATGGACGAAGATTTACTCCACAAATTCAAACTCAGCTTTTATCCAAGAGGGCGGCCCCTTCTATCTTCCCCATCACCTACCACTCTGAACAGGACCATGGAGGGGCCAGTTTGTATTTTCAGAGAATACAAAACATTTTTGCCTGCTTTTCTAAGTCTGCAAGCCATGTAGAAAACTGCCTAACATGAATGCCACAGTGTTTTCCTCGTGTCCTTGACATGACCGAAGACTTGGAGCATTTCATTGCTGTGTGAACCCTTTCAGATGTTAACTTTTACTGCCATCTACTGACACCGCCAGCAGACACCGAAACCATTTCCAGCGTGCAACACTCAGATGAGGCAAATACCAATTGTCATCCAATTCCTGCCCATGTTCTTAAATTCTTTGCAGCAATCACTTAAACGATAACTAATTACCACAAGATGCTTTTGGATAGCTGCATAGGTAAGAAAATCTTCCTCCAATTAATTAGGTATGCCTCATCTCTACGAAAATTAATTTAGAATTAAACCAAAACAAGTTATTCTTCAGCTAACGTGGTTTCCACAGCTTCTCTACGTACCGGCTGGCAGGAGGGTTCCCTTTGCTGCTGGCCTCTGTCCGTCAGCCAGGCACCCTCGCTCTGAATTTAGGTTCATCTCGACCATCTTCTCACCGTTGCACCCACCATGGGACACATTCGGTCACGCACACACAGAGTATGCGTACCCTAAGGGAGCACACACCCTCACAAAAATTATACGAAATCCTTCCAAACACAAAAAAGCCCCAAGCCAGAGTAATGCTGCAGTTTCTAACCAACGTGATTCCAAACACATTTATTCTTGGTATTCGCCTGTTTGCAAAAAGAACAAGGTATCACTGACAGCAGCCACCCCTTGAAACATTTTTACAGCATGTAGTTTGGTATGCATACAGCATACAGTATCCACGTTCAGCCTTTGGAAGCTGACTAACGTCAGGAGCATATGCATAAGGAATTTCACCTGAGGTTTCCACGTTGACTGAGGACATCATGCCAACCTCTCCAGGCACAGACGGGGCATGAGACACACATGTTGGCTCCCGTCTCGCAGGAAGCCAGACCTGCGTCACCCCACTCTGCAGCAGGGCCCCAGGGGCTCTTCGTCACAATCCCTGTGCTGCACTGCAGCCTGGGCTCGGGGGCCCGGCAAGAAGGCAGCAGCCCAGACGGGCTGGCACGACCGCGCTTCTCACTGGCGCTCGGTACAGCGTGGTACACTTGTACACAGTTATTGGTGGGCTCGTAAACCATTGACCATTTAATTAAAGAACATTTATTTAACAGAGGACTAGTTCACTCAGAACCAGAGCTCAGCATCAATTACAAAAAGCCTGCCCAGTGTGTAAGATGGATCCTTGAGACACATGGTTTACACCTTTAGCACGCTGACACACCGACTGGCCATTAACCAACACACTGTGGGTACCTATGAAAACTGGTACCAACTTCATGCTAAACACTTTAAGCACCTTGGAGGACTATGTAGCATTTCACTTTTTTTCACTCTCTGAAATAAATTCTTCTGGTGACACAAAACCAGCAGTTTCCATTAGGCTCAGATAAAATGCTTCAGTACAGAAATACAAAACCAGGCACAGCAAAAGTTCATAAACCTTTTAACAACAGTCAGTCGAAGACGAAGAGGGGAAAGGCCGAAAGACTAGGCAAGGACAGAGTAATACCGCTCTCCATTTTACCTACTAGCAATCCATAATTTAGAAACTTCCTACGTCCTCCACCTGTGACAGGTGTCAATGTACTTTTCCTCCATTTGCCTGTCTGGTTCCTTTTTGAAGTCATTTATGCTTTCAGTTCCACCATAGCCTATGACAACGATGTCCACTCCTTAACTGTGCTCTGTATGGGAAAAACCCAGGACTATAACCTTTCTTGTGTTTGTTTAAAGCCTGTTGTCTGTCAACATTATTGGATAACGTATAGTTCTTGTTTCATGAGAAGTACAGGGTCATGGACCTCCTCCTATTCACAGCTTTGTAGACTTCCATCCTATCCCCGCTCTGCCATCTCTTCTCAAAGTTGAAGTGTCCTTCTTTATTCAAGCTTTTTCTTAGAGGAGCTGTTCAACGATTTGGATCCTTGTCCTTTATTTGTATGCTTTTAAATTCTAGAATATCCTTTCTGAGATGGAGAGACCAGAACTGCACACACTGTATTCAAGATGTGGTGGTGTTCCTTTCTCCTCTTCTCCTCTCCTTTCCTAATAATATCTAATATTCTCACTGCTGTTTTCGCTCACCCCTTGCCACTGAGCTTACATTTTCACTGAACTGTGTCAATAGCCTCAAAGTCTCCTTCCTAAATGGTAACAGCACTATCATACATGACAATAATGAGGACTGCATTGTCCTCACACCCATTTTGTTGCATTTATCAGTCTTCAATTTCATCTGCCACTTTACTGCCTGAATGCACGTTGCATATTATGTCAAGGCTAATTGTATGTTTTATATTATAAAGACGACTATGGAGAACTATCTTTTCAATTGCTGGTGGAGAAAGAATAAGGGGAACAGCAAATAAAGTCATTTCGATTTTGTAATTCTTGTGTCAAGTGTAGGAAACCAACAACTGTTACCTGATATTTTAACTGGACTTTGAAAGCTTGGCTGAATCTTATGGACATTATCATTTTTTAGAACTTGGTCCAAAGGAGATCTCTCAAAGAACGTGAGGACGACTTCAGATCTTGAATACTTAAAAAGAGAAAAAGAAACAGACATCCGTTTTTACCACTAGTTTCCTTTGTCCCTCTTCACCCTTTCCACCCCTTCATAGTACAACAGAAAGACGTATTACAAGCAACAGCCTGGAGGCATCATTTCAGGGTTCTGGCACTCAGCACTTCTCCACGATGCCCAATAATTTGCTGCTCCTTTTAGAGTTTGGCAAAGCCCCATCACTTTCTAATCTGCATGAGAGTGCGTGTCACCATCAAGGAGGAGTCAAGCTGGGCTAAATGTGGAACTTGGCTTACTCACCTTCCAGGGCATGTTTATAACAGTCTTCAGAAGCTTTTCCACTTCATTAAGCCTGGCTTCTATATCATGGGCTTCTTTTATTGTGATGAGCCCTAGAAACAAAGTAAACAGATCGTGAGCATAGAAAACAGCACACTTTCATGTGCACACACTCTTCAGCGGCCAGAAGCAGCCGCTCAAGAAGATGTGGAATGACCTCAGATCTCACCCCTCCCAGAGATGTCTTTTAACCCATACTGATGATAAAGCATGTACCCCAAACTGAGGTGGGTGTAGTTAGCAGCAGAGTTGCAAGCCTGACACAAATTCAGCTGTTTACGATCGCATTTAGGAGTTGCAAGACGAGCAGAAGTAGAACCACCTACTCCCTCACCCACAGTTTCACTACAGAGCACTCCCAGCAGTGATAATCAAACAGCCTGTTTTCTGCTTCCAAGAACCATGATTCATCCTTTTTTCTGTCAATAAAAAGCAAAAGAAAACCCAAGAAAACCAAAAAACACAACCCACAGATAAGAGGAAAAGACTAAACACAAGCTAAACAAAAGGCTTTGATGGCAGTCTTGTATTTCTCTGAATGTCAGCCCCAGTGAGCGGCCCAAGGAAGATTTCTCAATACCACATTCTTCAAGGGCAAAACAATTTTTTGACTTTTTTTTTTTTTTTTAATAATCACTGTGTTTTCACAGTGCTGCAGAAGAGATTAAAATGGAAATTTTGTTGTCCAGTGTCTGGAATGATGCATTATGATGCTTCTAATTTTGAATTGCTCATATGGGGATCTTCAACTGTAATATCATTTCCTATCTATAACCTGCAGGGCATCTGTAACTTCTCCCTCTTCTAGCAAGACTTGGGGAAACATAGTACAGGTTATATGCACTTACAGGGAATATGAGGGGAAGTAAACCCCACAATCTTGCATCCCTCTAGCAGCCCTTTTCTTTCTGATCTTTGTCACCTACTTTTTCTAACCAAATCATCGTTTCACCTCTACATTTGTGCGTCTTTACCAAGGAGCAGAATACGTGCATGAAAATGAAATACCTAAGAGAGTATTAAATTTAATAAACTCCACCGGTAAAACAAAACAAACAACCAAACGCTGGAGCAGAAAAAGACCCAATAAATCAAAACCAAAAATCTGCAAAGCAGTCTGTGAGAAACCACTTCAACACACTGAATTGTGTTCAACCAAATGCAATGCCTTCTGCCTATTCAAAGCACGAACGGACAGAGCGAGCCATCAAACACGCACAGTGTGGGGACAACATCCACAACCAGCTTCAGTCTGCATCAGCTCTTGTTTGTTACCGATGAGATACTGAAGAGCTACTGGAGAGAGCCCCGCACAGGGCTATGAGGATGATGAGGGGACTGGAGCATCTCTCCTACGAGGAGAGGCTGAGGGAGCTGGGCTTGTTCAGCCTGGAGAAGAGAAGGCTGAGAGGGGACCTTAGGAATGCCTATAAATATCTGCAGGGTGGGTGTCAGGAGGACGGGGCCAGACTCTTTCCAGTGGTGCCCAGCGACAGGACAAGGGGCAACGGGCACAAACTGAAGCAGAGGAAGTTCCAGCTTCTGGAAGAATTTCTTCCCTCTGAGGGTGATGGAGCCCTGGAACAGGCCTGCCAGGGAGGCTTTTTTTTTGGGCATCCTGCTCGGAGTGACCCTGCTTCGGCAGGGGGTTGGGCTGGGGGACCCACAGAGGTCCCTTCCAACCCCCACCATGCTGGGATTCTGTGATCCCATACAAACCTCCCTGACAAAAGCGTGACTTTGAAGCTGTCAGCTCCCCGCCAGTCACAGCTCTGAATAAAACAGAGGTTGTGTCCAGCGCAGCCAAATTTACGTCATGGTTGTCCCCCAGAAGCAGCCTGGTTGCATCCAGCCTTTCTATCGCTTGCCAGTCCCTCATTTTGCCTGTTCTTGTCAGCATCGCTGCCACCTCACCCCGGCACAGCCCGCTCCCTCTTCCGACAGCGGCGCGGAGCGTCCCAGCAGGCACACGAGGTCGGTGTATCCTGCTTTGACCGGCATACACTGCAGTTGGGGAGCTTTGCACAGAAATTCTCTGAAAGGCTACACATGCAAATTAACTCGTCTGCGTGGGCCCACAGACTGCGCATTAGCTGAGTTGTCCCTGAAGTTATGGACCCGAATTGCAGACCAGCACCCTTCATCTTCCTAACGACCGGGTGTGAGCAGGCCTGGGCGGGTCTGCTTCGCCCCTCCACAAGTATGTTCCCATCCCACATCCAAACAACGTTCAAACCTTTCAAAAAAAGGGGTTTCATCTTCCCTAAAAAACCGCTGCCAACGGCCCCAAGGCTCAGAGACCCCCCTGCGATGCCAGAGACGCGCTGTCGCCCCGCCATAGCCCGCAGCAGAGACAGCAGAGCCCACCACCCCGGTGCCAGCTAAGGCGGGGGGGGC